ACCCCCTGCCAGAGGACAAGTGGCTCTGGGCTGCACACCAGTCCTTGCTCCCCTCCCCTGGCTCTGGGTCCTTGCAGAGAGCCCAAACAGCCTTAGCACAGAGCTCAGATATTTATAGAGGGCTTAGCTGAGTCCCTGCAGCCTACTGGAGGGGTGACAGTGCCTGGGGAGTTGGGGTGAAACCACGTGTGGTCACCAAGGTTGCCGTGGTCCCCTCAGCTCACGCAGCACCGGAGATGCAGCTCAGCTGCTCCTGCTCTCAGAGGGCTGCACAGGGCTGAGAGGACACCCAGAGGGGTTTGTGCGTCAGAGGCAGCTCAGCCTTCACACCTCCTGCACAGATGTTTCCAGAAGCTGCAGCCTGGGGCTGGGGCTCAGCCCCGGGGAGGAGGATGCCAACAGCCTGTGCTGTATGGGACAGAGCCTGGGGGCACAGCTGCACTGGTCACACACTGGTTGGGTTGGGAGGGACTGCAGAGATCATCCTGCCCTGGGCAGGGATACCTCCCAAGGCAGCTCAGCCTTCACACCTCCTGCACAGATGTTTCCAGAAGCTGCAGCCTGGGGCTGGGGCTCAGCCCCGGGGAGGAGGATGCCAACAGCCTGTGCTGTATGGGACAGAGCCTGGGGGCACAGCTGCACTGGTCACACACTGGTTGGGTTGGGAGGGACTGCAGAGATCATCCTGCCCTGGGCAGGGATACCTCCCACCAGCCCAGGCTGCTCTGCTCTGGAGCCCCTTGAGGTGAGCCCCCCAGCTCTCCCAGCCTGGCTCCAGGGCAGAGGAGCTCCAGCTCTTTGAGCATCCCCATGGCTCCTGCTGAGCTCAAGGCAGCCAGCCCAGACCCGTGGCCACCACGCACACACTGGTGTCTCTGCTGGTGCCTCCAGCGCTGGGGCAGGGGGAAATGTGTTTGCAAACAAGAAGTGAAACTGTTCTGCCCTGCTGCACTGCTCCTCTGCTCCCTGGAGGAGGAGGAGGGTTTGAAGGGTGAGCAGCTGGTGCAGAGCAGCAGAGCTGCCCCGGGAGGGCAGTGCCCAGCTGGGAGGGCACAGGATGGCCCAGCCCCAGGGACAGGTGCTGTGCTCAGCTCACAGCACTCTGCAGCTCTCAGGCTCCACTTCCCTTCTCCTCACAGAATCTCTGCCCTCTGCTTTGCCCCTTCCCCTCCTCCTGCTTTCTCTTTTCTCCCTTCCTGCAGAGCTCTGTTTTCCTTTCCTCCCCACTGCCATCTCGTAACTGGAAACCGCCGGTACTTCCCCATCACGGACCAGTTCCTCCCTACCCTCCTGCCCTCGCACAACTGCAGTTGCAACAGGAGCCCTGACGAGGACAGACTTTTGCAAGACCAATTCCTGTCCCTCACACGCGGAAACCGACAGACTTGGGCAGCTTCACCTCCTCCGCCTGTGCTGAAAGCAGAGAGCCAGACTCAGCACTAGGACAGGCACAGAGCGGGCGGAAGGCTGGATCCAGCTTCCAGCTCCTTCTCGCATGGAGGTTGTCTCGGCTTTGATCCTGGAGAACCTGAACCCCCCTGGGCACCCTCAGAGGCTTCCTCTGCTCTGTACCCTCTGCTGAAGGGGAGGGAAGGACACTGTGAGAGGAGAGCTGTCCCCTCCTGCCGTCACCATCCCCAGGGCTGGGTGTAGCACAGGGGCCAACAGCCCCCACAACTGACACCAGTGGAGCCAGACTCTGTCCCCGAGGTGCTGTGAACCACAGGGAGGGATGATGTGTGCCTAGGAGCCCCACAAACCTCATCCTGCCCAGCCTCTCCCTGGCCCTGCTGAGCCCAGCGACTCCCACCAGCACCGGACATGGGGTGAGGATGCAGCAGTGGCATCGTGCATGGCCCTGCTGTGCTGGATGTCACAGGGGCCAGGCCAGGAGCCTGGAGCAGCCCAGGCTGTGGGACAAGCCGCAGGAGACACTGCTTGACCCAGGGGAGTAACTCTCAGCACCCCAGGGATAGGGTGACAGGGGCCAGGGCCCTTCCCACAGGTGTGGGGATCTCTGTGCCTGCTGTGCCCACACACAGCCACGCTGGCAGCTGTGCCACCCCACAGCACCTCCTGTGCCCTGCCTGGAGCTCGCCCACCACCCCAGCGCTGGCTGACAGCTCCATCCCGTGGCCCCGGGGGCACGCTGAGCTCCTGGTGGCCTCAGGCCACCCAGAGGAGCCCTGTGCCAGCCCCAGGGCTGTGCCCAGGAGGGCAGCTCCCCTGGGGCTGTGCCAGCCGAGCTCACACTGCCCCTCCTGCCCTTCCACCCAGGCATGTGCTGGTTCCTCCCGTCCTCGGGTGACACAGCCACACATCACTGGGGCTTGGGAAATCCCTCTGAGGTCATCCAGTTCAACCATCCCCAGCACTGCCAAGGCCACCACTGACCATGTCCTCAAGTGCCACATCCACAGTGTTAAATCTCCCCAGGGATGTGACTCCATCCCTGCCCTGGGCAGCCCTTTCTAGGAGGAATTGTCCCAGTATCCAACCTGAACCTCCTCTGATGCAACTTCAGGCTATTTCCTCTCATCCTGCCCCTTGTTTCCTGGGAGCAGAGCCTGACCACACCTGGCTGCACCTCCTGGCAGAGAGCTGGAGAGCGTGACAAGGTCCTCCCTGAGCCTCCCCTTCTCCAGGATGAGCCTCCACAGCTTCCTCAGCCACTCCTTGTGCTCCAGCTGCTTCCCCAGCTCCATTCCCTTCCCTGGACACCTCCAGCCCCTCCATGTCCTTGTCACAGGACACACAGAAGTGCCCCCAGGATTTGGGGTGCCTCCCCCATTCCCCGGCAGGGGAGATGAACCAGCCCCAGGGGTTACACGGCAGTGCTGGGGAGCAGCTCCAGGCCCTTGGAGATCTCACCAAAAGCAAAGCCAAACCAAAAGAGACGACACAACCAAAGGAAACTGCAGGAAAGCTGCCAAGAAGTGACTGTGAGCTCCTGATACTCCCATGGCACCAGAGTTCACTTGTCAGTGAGCAAGGGGAATCCCAGCACCTCCAAAAGTCCCTTTCCTAGGGATCTTACATCCAAACAGTGCTGGAAGCTGCTTTTCCAGGCAGCTCAGGGACAGGCTCAGAGAATTGGCAGAAGAGGAGGATAAACAGCAGGGACAGAGCAGAAGCCTGACCCAGATGCTCTAGGAGTGCTGGAGTGGAACACCCCCAGCACTCTTCCTGCTGGGACACAGGCACATCCCCAGGACAGAACCCACCCTGCATCCCTGCACACCATCCCTGTGGAGAGGTTTGCTCCAGCCCTCACCAGCTTCCCAGCCCTGGGATAGGGATACACACCTCCCAGGGGCTCTGCTGGCAAAGGGTCAATGTCCCGGGGCAGCACAGCCCTGGGGACCCTCCCCACACAGTACTGAGGACCATGAGGGCTCGACTGGGATCAGCTGGGGAGACACATCCTGAGGGAAAGGACAGAAAGGCCCATGGAGCCCAGAGCAGCAGGTGAAGCCAAGTGTGCAGGAGCCATGGGGGTTCAGGGGCAGCTCATGGAGTTTCAAACCTGGATGTCCTGCCCTGTGCCAGGACAACCCTGGACGACCACACAGCCATTCTGGGAGGAAAAGGAGGACAAGCTCCTACTGCTCCCAGCTTGCAGGACCAGCAATTCCCAGCACAGAGAAGCCAACTGCAGCCTGGAAACAGGCATGGAGAAGGGATCAACAATCCCAAACCATGGGGATGCTAATGGTGGTTTGCCACATCAGCTGTAAGTCAAAAACTTAGTTGGATATTGGGATGGAACTCCTGGCTGGGAGGGTGCTGAGGCACTGGCACAGGTTCCCAGAGCAGCTGTGGCTGCTCCATCCCTGGGAGTGTTCCAGGCCAGGCTGGATGGGACTTGGAGCAGCCTGGGCTGGTGGGAGGTGTCCCTGCCTGGGGCAGGGGTGGGATGGGATGACCCTTAAGGTCCTCCCGACCCAATCCTGCCTGTGATTTCATGACAAAAACAGCAAACAGGGAATTAAAAGATTCCTCCCCACTTTATTTTAGTAAACCATGGATTTGGGGGACTGTTTCCCAGTTTCACCCACTGCTGTTGGCTCCTTTAGCACCTGCTTGGGGTTATTCCACCAGCAAGGCCAGTCCAAGCTCCCCAGTGTCAGCCCAGAGCCCCTTCCCAGCACACAGTATGACATCAGAGACCCTTGCCAGCCCCAGCCCAGCACCTGAGCCCCCTGCCAGCCCCAGCCCGGAGAGAAGAAAGGAAAGTGTCTGTACCTCGGGACTTACTGTGTGTTTCTTAGTCATTCTCCAGAGGATGCAGGTGAGCAGCATGTGGCCCAGGGCAGACGTGATGAACACAATGAAGGCATTTTCGTGGATTGCTGGATCAACAAGACAAGTTTTCCTGCTCAATCCCAGCCCAGAGCACAAGGGGAATGAGGAGCAGGATTGGGAAGGGGGAGGACTGCTCTGTGCAGGAGGTGGGAGCCCCAGGGATGCTGGGGATGTGAGGTCCTTGCAGGGGACAGGACCGCACAGCCCCAGCACCTGCCTGGGGGGTGCCTTGTGGCCCCCTGAAAGGGCACACAAGTTGCCACAAGCACCAGAAGGGTGTTTAAGTGCTCCGGGACCATCACTTCACAGTGCTGTAAACCTCAGGGAGCATTGGGAGCAGCTTAGCATCACCACTGCTGCTCTAGGGATGGGGAAACTGAGGCACAGAGAGGAGGGAGAACCAGGCCAAAGTCCAGACACTCCATCTTCCTGCCTCCTGCATTACCTACCTGCCAGTCAACAGCCTCATCCGCAGCACTGAAGTTGCCTCATGCATCCCTAACTAGCCCAGGTGTAGGACCGGGCTGGGAATGCAGCTGGAACAAGGCCAGAGCAGCTCCCAAGGCCCCAAACCACATGCAGACACTGAACCTTCAGGTGAGGGATTGTCACAAGTGCTGCTACGTCAAGGAGCTTCCCAGTTTTTCTCCATGAACTGCATATCAGGTTGAATTCCCAACCACCTGAGCATGAGGAATGACCATCCCTGCTCCCCCTCCCCATCCCAGGGGAAGGAAAAGAACAGGAGTGATGGTAAGGGCAGGTGTGAGAGGAAAGACATGAGCCATGTCCTGCAGGGCTGATTACTCTGAGCCCCTTCTCATCTCAGCATGGCAGCTTAGGGCTGAAACTTTCCCCACAAACCTGAGATTAGTCTGGGATAAGGATCTGAGAAACTGGGTCAGCCTCAGCTCCCAGAGTGGCTTTGCCCAGTTGCACCTCAGTCTCTCCCTCACAGAGCTCTGCAGGAGCCACAGACAGGGCTGTACCACGGAGGTGTCCAACCCCCAAAGCAGCCCAGCCTGGACAGGTCAGAGAAGCCACAGCAGCAGGTCAGGCTGTGGCCCCTGGCATGGTTGGGCAGCTGGGGACACTGGCAGGGGAGGTGGCACTGGGGCGCCTCTCTGTGGGGGACAGAGAGTGCTGGCAGGAGATTAGGAAAGTGAGCTGGACAGAACAACCCCTGGACCACACACCTCCCTCAGCTGGAGGCTCACATCCAGCCATCCCAGGTCACTGGGCTCCACTACGGATCTCCAGCCTCACCAAAAGGCAGCAATGGAGCTGGAGGGGAAGCAGAATGAGCACTGACCTCTGATCACTTTCCAACAGTCCCTGCAGCACAGCTGGGATCCAGAAGCAGGGGCTGATTCAGACTTTATCCCAAAACCGAGCGCATGGTTTCAGCCAACACTCAGCAACAATTTTGGAACGCACATGGATATTTGCACACTATGAACATCACTTTCCTCTATAAATACCCACTGTAATACAATTTCTGGGGGGGTTAACTGCTTTTCCCCTCCAAACTGGCTCACTCCAAGGCTCTGACATGCAGCAGAGCTCAGCAGGAGCAGGACCTCAGGTGGGACCATCCACAGTCTGTGGGAGCTGACACCTACCATAGTTCTCGGAGGAGGACACGTAGGTGAGGATGAGGAGGGCAAAGTTCTCCAGCAGGTTGAGCAGCAGGTTGCAGTGGCACAAGCAGAGGTACTGAGGGTGGGAGCAGTGGCAGCTCTGGTAGTGGTTCCAGTAGGCCACAGCCACCAGGAACCTGGGGGCCGAGTGAAGGCCGATGCAGAGGCGCCAGACGTAGCGCTGGGGCGTCTCGCCCCCGATGGCCGCGCTGATCGAGGGAAGGTAGTTGGGCACCTGCAGGGCACACAGTGGCTCGTGGGGACAGGCACAGGACTCTGCAATACTCCTGTACCTACTGCCCTTCAACACCTTAACAATGTTCTTACTTAGCTATTTCTAAGTAAGTTGATTCCCATTTCCCAAGGAATGGGATGTACTGGTTCATCCCACAGGGACACACAGCCCCAGCCCCTGGGGATGAGGTGACCTGCCCAGGGTCCTGCTGGGGTTTCTTGAGTGTCATAGTATGGTAACAGGTTGGAATGAAGCTTAGAATCACCCAGCCCCAACCCCTGCCCTGGGCAGGGACACCTCCCACCAGCCCAGGCTGCTCCAAGCCCCATCCAACCTGGCCTG